TGTTAGTTTGTTTTAAAGAGACAAATAATAAAGGTTTATGGAATGAAAGAGAATAGATTACACTGGTTGAGCTAAAAGGACATGGATATATGTGTTATGCATATATGGGTATATAAATGGAAGGCTATGGATGAAGCTCTGAGGCAAATCTAATGGAATTCTGAGTGTAATTGCTCATCTTCATTTCCTTAAGAGGGATGAAACTCCCTTATTATTCAGGTTGCCCAGAAAGGGGGAGTTCTATTGGTTAGTGGATTATCTTTCAGTATGTAAGGTCGTGTTCTCATTTTGTTTGAATAATCAGAGTGAAATAAATTGCTGGACCTAAAATGTACACACAGAAGTTCATTACAGGAAACAGAATAGAATCAATGCCTTAGTGCAGTGAAAGCTGTTGGATTTATGTAGCAAACAGTTCAAGGAGCTTTGAGACCTTATTTATTAAATTGAGCAATATTAATCTGGTTTATCCCACTGCACTAGTGTCTAGGTAGCATTAGAGATAGAATATGTTCATCTCATTGAGTGATTAGGTGAGTGATTTTTCCTGTAATTTTATGAAAAAATGGCAATAGTGAGACTGAATCATGTAGAAAGGAAAAAGAAAAAGAATAATGTGCGTCAGAGCCAGTTACCAAGAGACCTAATTGTGCTTAGAAATAAGACCAGACCTATAAATAATGCAAGAGAGCTCCAGTTGTTTACTAGGTGGATATAATGATCCTGGAAGAAATTTTCACTGACAAGGTTGCCAAATTACACATCCTAATTATGATTTGAGAATGTAACCCTGGCACAATGAAAAGAAATGCACTTTTCTTTTTTATTGATCCTAGTCACCAATGATCCCCAGTCTCACTGATGCTCATAGTACATGTGGAAATCCTACTATGAGAATTTACTAGGAAATAATAATCAGTTCCCAGTGGAGGAGCTCCGACTGAAGTCAGTAAGATCCGGGTTGGGACCTGGGAAGGGTTAACTTCATTTTAACACATGGAGAATCCATGAACCCTCACAGACACAG